CTCAAAAAGAAACATTAAAGAAAAAAAATTTTTAATAAAATAAAAACACATCATATAAAAATCTTGCTACAAAGGAACAACATACTTGTGATCTCATGTCCACACTGACTGGAAAGGGAGGCATTATCCAATGACTATCAGATGTCGACCAGCCCAAGGCCCAATTTCTAGGCCCTAAACCAACACACACACACAACCTTGGCACCCACACAACCTTCTCCATATAAACATCCAATACTTTAAACTCCCAACTGTGCAAAGTTCCAAATTTCTAACAATTATTAACACACCAGCCACTGAAACGGGGAAAGATCCCACAGGCCATTTTACTGTCTCCCTCTTTCCAGCAGGAGAAAAAAAAGTCCCTTAAGAATTGTAATTTGGACATGCTCTACCTTTAGGCTCTCAACTTTATTTTCTGCCGGAAGTAGTCTAACAGGTCAACAGATGGATAGTGAAAACAATGGAAGAGGACAGAACAAATTAGGAGAAACTAAGAGAATCAACATTCATTGTTGACACGGGCACTGTAAATGGTACTAGGCACTTTGCACTAATTTTTTTTTTTAAACGTTTATTTATTTTTGAGACAGAGAGAGACAGAGCATGAACGGGGGAGGGGCAGAGAGAGAGGGAGACACAGAACCGGAAGCAGGCTCCAGGCTCTGAGCCATCAGCCCAGAGTCCAACGCGGGGCTCGAACTCAAGGAACGTGAGATCATGACCTGAGCTGAAGTCGGACGCTTAACCGACTGAGCCACCCAGGCGCCCCAGCACTAATTATTTAAACCAACAATAGACCTACAAAACAGGCAGTATCCCCATTTTATAGATAAAAAACATATTCTGCAAGATTTAACTGACTTGCCCAAGGTAAGGAGCAAACTCAGGGTTCAACCCTAAAGCTACCTAGCTACAGAGGGTTTTCCTTTAACAACCCTACTGACTTCCTTAAGAGTCAAAGGATACAGCCCTTAGTATCTTTCCACAGCCATTCCTTCCCTGCTTTCTTTACCTTGGCTACTCTTAAAACTGGCCTCCATGGGGCATGTGGATGGATCAGTTAAGCTTAAGCCTCTTGGTTTTTGCTCAGGGCAAGATCTAAGGAGAAATCAAGCCCCAAGTCAGGCTCCATGCTAACAGTATTGAGCCTTCTTGGGATTCTCTTTCCCTCTCCCTGCCCCTCCCCTACTCACACACTCTCAAAATAAAACAATAACTTAGGAAAAAAAAAAAAAAAACTGGCCTCCATCTTAGCAACCAACTACCTCATTACATACCTAACACCACTGTGCTGTCAAGTTGCTACTGGTGTTTTCAACAACATCAAAACAATCCATCTCTCTCCTTCCCTCCCCTACCTCTACCCATTAACTAGAAATGTCATCTATACCCCAATATTTAGCTTTATTATCTAACATTAGATCTGGAGAAGTAGTCTGAGGTCAAGTACAAATCCTTCATTTTTCAGAAAAGGACAACCTGTGCCTAGAAAGGTTATATTTTGAAAAAATCTGTATCTTCTAATCGCAGGAGGTTCTTCCTGAACACTGATGGTCATGGCTGCATTTAAAAAGCTTCCTCTCAGGGTGCCTGGCTGGCTCAGTCGGTTAAGCTTCCAACTTCGGCTCAGGTCATGATCTCATGATTAAAGCCTCACATCGGCTCTCTGCTGTCAGGACGGAGCCTGCTTTGAATCCTCTGTCCTCCTCTCTCTCTGCCCTCCCCCTGCTCATTCTCTCTCTCAAAATAAATAAATAAACTTAAAAAAATTTTTAAAGCCACCTCTTTGCTGAAGATAATAGCATTCTATTCCATTCTCAAATCTGTTCTATTCTCAAATCTCTTCTGCTAGAGATCAATGCCAGGGTTTGCTTCTAAGACACATATTTTTAATTCTAAATGCAGAGATCGTGAATTTACAGCAACTAAGCAAGTAAGCTTTGGGAGCTATAGTTAAACTGCCTGGAACTAGAATATTCTAAGAAACAAGTTACATATCTCAATAACCACAAGTCTGAAGGATTCAAAGGCTGACAAATAGCAATTCTGAGAGGTTACCAATTTATTTCAGGATGAATCACACAGAAAAGCAAGCCTGTGAGGTGGTCTAGAAAGCCTGTAAAGTCATGAAACATGGACCTGTAGCAAGACTATAAACATAAAAATGAAGTCAGGTCCATCAAGGCAACCAAGTGAAGAAAGTAGAGATTGGGGCAAGAGGAATGAAGTGGGGAAAAGCTTGGGACCTGGTACACACCTCATCCGTAGCAGTGTTTGACTATTTAAGAAGGTCCATTACTAAACACCGTGAATGGCACACGGAAGTACAGTATTATGTAATGAGTGAACATATGCGGCCAATTACAAAATGGTACAAAAGAACACCCTGGGAACTCAAAATTTGCTGGGAGAGAGACCTGTCCTGTAGAAAATGTGTCCTCATGCTATGGAAACAGAGCTCATGGGATTGCTGTATAACAAACTGCACTGGACACTGAACACGGACTCTGGAAGCCATACACTAGCTGTGTAATTCTGAGCAAGCCCCTTTCACCTTTCTTTGGTTCAGTTTCCCACTCTCGAAAGGTGTGGGCAAAGTTGAGATAACATGCAAAAAGGATTCAAAGCTGACACAAATTCAACTGCCTGAGTAACATCACCTCTTGCAAGTCTCCTAAGCAATCTCAAATTTAATAGGCCCAAGAGGAAATTTTCAATCATCCCCCAAAACCTGCTCATCTTTCCTATCTGTTTCCATACTCTAGAAGCATTCTTGCTTTCTCCACATCCAATTCATCTCCCAGTCCTATCCATTCTGACCCCCATATATCATTCACTTTTACCTGCACTGTCATCACCCTAGTTTAAACCACAATTATCTCTCACATGAATGACTGGAGCAGCCAAAATGATCCCTAGGCTTCCACTTCAGCTCTCTCAAATACAAACAGAACCATATTCTTAAAAACGTAACTGTACTTTCATGTCATTTCCCATCTCAACCCTGTAAGCTGTCCACTGTTCTCTAGAGAAAGAGGTCAAACTCCTAAACCTGGTTTTCAAGGCTCTAAATGATCTGCCCTCTGTCTCAAGCCACTTTCCCCATTCCTGATCTTGCTCCAGCACATTGGCTTTTATGCAGTCACTCGAAAGTGTTATGCACCCTCCCGACAAACTCCTCATTCTTTGGGGTTCATTCCTAAATTAGGCTCTTTTTTTACACGCTTTTATTACACTCTCACAGCATTCCGAGGTACCTACGTTATTTATACAATTATTATACAAAAGTGTACAATCACAAATGGTTATAAACCCAACGAAACTAAAAGCTTCACGAAGGTAGGCACTATTCTATCCGGTTCACCTCAGCATCCTCAGGTAAACTGGATCTGGCACACAGCTCGGGCCTAAATATTTGAATAAATCCACTGAGGTGAAGAGGGACATAGTCAACTAAAAATCTCAATTAAAAAAAAAAATAAAGTTCTAACTTATACAATTGCCCATTTTGCTTCAACGCTCACCACCTCCGCTCTCAAAAGCTCAGACCAAAATCAAATACTTCAAGGTTTCCAACCTCCCGCAACCCCGGCTTTCTCCTCCCATCACCATAAAGTTCCACGTCCAAAATGAACCCATCCTAGCACTGAGACGAGCTGGAACCTGCTCCCTGTCCCTGCGGGTGGCGGGGACACGGTCGACCCGGGGAAAGTTTCCTAATCCGGACACCCGGGCTGGGAGCCTGAACACTAGTCCGCGCAGCAGTGACGCACGTCGGCAGAAGCACTTCGTCAGCTATGAAGCCACGAAGCCTAAGGCGTTTCTTTCAGACTTCTCAGACGCAATTCAAGTCATGCGTCCCAGCCTGAGCGGTCGGCCGCGCGTCGCAGACCTTCAGACGCCCACCAGAATCACGGAGGAAGGACTGAAAAGACGACGACCCTTACGCCTCGCCCTTTAAAAAACACCCCCAATCAAGGCTGGCCGGGAGCTGAGTAAATCCTCGCGAGAATCACCGGCTTCCGCCCGCTTCCTCCACCCGGCTAGCGGGACCGGAAGGAAGGCGCCACTTCCCCGCCCCGGGACCTACCTCACAAGGCAGCGCGAACCCAGCCGTGACCAATCAGAGGACTCATTGTAGGCCGCGGCGCGGAGGGCCAATGGAAAGTCGCGACGCGCGCAGAGCTTCCCCTCTTCCGCACCGGCCCCCTCCCTTCCGCCCGCCGACTTCCACTTAGCCTCTGGCGGAGGAAGTGATGTCACAGGCCCCATGTGAGCGGATTGCAACACATGCAGCTGCCTGGAGAGAGGGAGCCGGTGTCCTACGTCAGAGCCGCCGCCGCGGAGCCGCCGCCGGGGAGGAGCAGCCGCTGCCGCCCAGGACTGGGCCCTTAGGTAAGCCGAGGGAGGGAAAAGCCAGCGACCGCCGCGGCGGGCTGCGCGGGGCAGGAAGAAGAGGGCCTCTCGGGGGTGGCAAGGAAGGGGGCCGCTCTGCCCCAGCGGCGGCGCTAACTCTGTGGTCTTGGTGTCTCCGGGCCCCGCCGGGCCGCTCTAGGGAGGAGGAGGCGAGAAGATGGCGGACGACCCCAGTGCTGCCGATAGGAACGTGGAGATCTGGAAGATCAAGAAGCTCATCAAGAGCTTGGAGGCGGCCCGCGGGTGAGCGCCGCGTCCGGCCCCCCCGTGCCCTCTTGGTTCCCGGACCCCTCAGGATGGCCGCCCCCGCGCCGCATGGCCGGATGAGGAGAACCAGGCACTAGTCAACTCCCGCCTTCTGGATCTCTGGGTAGTAGCCCCCGACCCAGGGGCGAGGGTCTGCGCGGTTGGTCCGAGAAGGGATCCTTCCCCTGCTTCGGGGCATAAGGGGCCCCGCTCCCGGGTCTCGGACCACTTAACCCCTTACGTGAGAGGTCATTGCTACTTTTGAATCTCTCCCAGGCACTTGAATCCAACACTTCCCTCTTCGACTCCAGGTGCTGCCACCCTACTCGGGTACTTGGGGAGAAAGGGCTCGGCCTTCCCTTCCGAACGCTCTTCCCTGATTTCCTCTCTTCTTCCTTCATGTTTCTCAGCCATACCTTATTAAAATGGCCTCTCCCTCCTGTTTTTCTGAGACCCGAGTGGGTGAAGTTTGGATGGGACAGGACGGAGACGTGGTCAGGGACAACCTCTTTCTGACTTCCTCTGATATCTCTGGGTCTTCCAGCTCTTCCCAGATGACTTCCCCCAAGTCCTCTAGTTACCCCCGGAGCTTCCTGGTTTTAGCTGTTAAAGTATCCGCCTATAAATTGAAAATGCCAACATATGCGGGGTCGGATAGAAGGGACATTTTGGTTGCCTGGGTCTGTATATCCAGGAGAAATCCGGATCATGGGGCAGTTGATGTGAACTGTTAACAGGGTCGTTTTTCTCCTCTCTCTGGAACTTTCAGGGATAGAGGTTCCTGATGTACTAGTGCTTGTTGAAATTCATAACTGAATTAGATGGGCTTTGGGTCTCCTTTTGTAAATTTTGTGGACGTGCACTATGGAAATGTTATATTGAAACTGGGTGTATATGCTCCTTTTAGGTTAACAAAGAATTACTTGGTAAAGTTGTGTCAGAGGTACTCCCCTTTTCTCACTTTATTTTGTTCTTTTTCCAGTTGTAGGAACTTTTTGGTTACAGGAAGTGGCCCAAAAAAGCATTTGGAACATGACATATTTGTATGTTTGAGCATTCTTAGAATAGCAGAGTGCCTTGCCCCAGGCCATTTTGAAGGTTTGTTTTCAGCACAAGAATTGTGCATTCTGATTTCCAGTCCAGGTTTGTCTTTGATTGGTTGGCTTACAATGATAGGATTAATTAAGCTTTTAATTGTTACCCTATGAAATAAGGTGTACTTAGTTACACCAAAGAGCTAGGGTTGATAATTGGTTTTGCCCTTGTGTCTTGTTCTTACTAAGTGACATTTCTGCTTGAAATGAAGCTTCTGAAAGTTTGGCTCAGTTCAGTGACTTGGGCTTTTGCTAACTCTTTCCCTGATGGAAATTGAAGGTGGCAGCTTATTTTTTATTTAAGTTTGTTTCTTTGAACTTAATAAAATACTCAGACCTATATAATAATCTTACAGGAACTTGAACCCAGATGGTTCTGTGCCATATGGTAAATTGAATAATTATTCCCCAAGTGTGAGCACATTATATTACAGGAGGGGTAATACAGGTCCTGACCCATTATGTCTGATGCATTACTAGGAATTAGCTAGCCAGGTTCTTTCATTTCACTGGGATCTTCTGTTGTGTTACTTTCAATTGAGTATGGCTTTTATGCATCATTGATGCAGTGTTTAAAGTTGGATATGACCTGTAGATTTGTTCTCTTACTACTTTAATTTGGAGGCAGGTTCACACATTAGAAACTGCATACGTTATATTCTCTTAGGAAGTCTAAAATAAATTAACGATTATAATTTATTGTCTGAGTGTAGTAACATTAAAAATAAAACATTGCATGTAATAACAGCATTTCTTTCTACGGCTTGATGAAGGAAGTTAATTCTTACATTTGTCCCTTGCCATGTTACCTAGCCACTTGAAACCTTTAAGCTCCTCTTTACAGCTTTTAAAGGCTTTATCCCTTTATTAGCAAAGTTCAGTAAAGTTTAAAGCTCACCAAAAATGAGGTTCTTAGTGACTACTTTTTAGTGATGAAGTTAGTTTGGACATTTTAGACCAGAATTAAAGCTTTCTCAAATAGCTGGGAGTAGTCTTCCTTTAAACAAATTATGTGGTTGATAATCATTTCCTACTTTGCTTTTATTCAGGAGTTGATTGCATCTTAATCCCATGAAAATTTTAAATCTTGGCTACTTCTGGGTATTAGTAAAGAGTCAACAAGTGTATTCAGCTTGCTTCAGAAGTTTCCCAGTACATACCAATTTCTTTTCAGGAATAGCAAGATTTCATGTTCATGGCTGAACTGTATTAAAGTCTGACTCAGATTATCTTAGTGTATGTACAGTGAGAAATGTTTTCTTAACACTAAGATATTTTAAGAAGTGTAATGACATTTAAAGACAAACTGAATGACCAAATGAATCTATACGTACTGGTGTTGGGCAGCCTGTGGATTTAAGGAGAAAACTGAAAATGTTCAAGCATGGTTATTAGCACTAGATAGTGAAATTTACTGGTGGATAATAGAATTGTTTTTGAAACAAATTTTTTCCCCTCCCAGTAGTGTAGAATTCTGGGCATGAAAATCAGATTGGTTTGTTTTTAACAGCTATAAAGTATGGTGTGATAAGAGTAATTTTGAAATTGAGTCAATTTGTGATTATCTTTTGATAATATTACCCATATTTAGCTTTAAAAGGGAACTGCTGCAAAATGGACTCACTAATTAAGTACATCTGAACAGAGTGAAGTTTCTAAGCACATACTTTATGGAGTAGTTAGTATGTTCTAGACACTGTTAAGCAGTACGCTACTTCATTAATCCTGGCAGAAAGTGTTGACACCATTTGATAGCCAAGGCAATGGAGGCTGAGAGGTTAAATAACTTGGTATCTGAAGTGTAGCAGAGCCCAGGGCTTGAACTAGTGTGTTACACAGTGCAGTGGATATATTAAATGTTTTCAAAAAATATAAGGCTGGATTGACTCAAATTGTAATCTAAGCTATAACAGCCTTTTAATATTGTCATATCTGTGGAAGAGCATTTATAAGAGCCAAAATGACTAACATAGGGAACTTGGCCAGGAGTCTTTTTGTAGCCCACAATGTACTTAATTTTCTAAATTGAAAGAAGTATTAGTCATATAACTTAAATTTAAGTTAGCTGAAACAGACCTATTTAGTATCATGTAAGTTTAGTTGAATGTTAGTTTTTGTGTGTGTGTTAAATAATATGCCACTTTTTTTGGTATACGTACTCCCACTTAATGTTAGTGGAAGTTCTTCCTGGTTTATGATTCTCCATCGTTGGCTTAATGGGGACAAATGTGTATGTAAGCCAAAACTGGAACTAGAGCCATGTGAATGGAACTGTGGTTGTGGGTATTCTGGGTAAGGAACTAGAGCAAGTGGAATATAATGTTACAAGAAAGGTAGGTGGGAAATTTTTGGGGGGTGGGTTGTTTTTTTCCTGCTAATGTTTTTTTGAACCGTCAAGAAATTGCCCCAGAAATAAGGATGGAAGCTTTATAGTTTTCAGGTAATAAAATCATTGCCAGAGCCTGTTATAGCCAAGGACAATGGTACATGTGAGAGACAAGGTTAGTTTGGGCTAAATTGCATCTGTAGGTGTCAGAATACTTTTTCACTTATTTTGATGAGGGAACCTTGTATATGTCAGAAATAATGAAGGCTCAGATAACCCTTGTTTGAAGATCTGCACAGTTTGTAAACTTTATTTAGGTCTTCTGTAGTGGTCTTTGGCATTTTTAAATTTTCCTGTTTAATTAAAAAACAACTTGTAGATATTTTGACTTTGAAGAAAATAGAAATAATTTGGCTATATACATCACTGTCTTTTCTTTCCCAAAATATAGCTTCTTTTCTGCTCTACTCTTAAATAGTTCTGAAACCAAATTGGGAAGAGGGTCCCACACCAAGCATTTTTCCAGTCTTAGAGGATAACAGCTGAGTGTCCTACAGTTTAATTCTAGTATTACATAAACTTATCATCTGATCCCCTAAGGTGAAGTATTCAGTCCCATAAGACTGCCCCCATTTGTGGTAAGTCTGGGCTTCCCCTACTTCTGACCTACAGGCTTTAAATTGGGGGCTTAATGATTTGCTAGAATGGTCCGCAGAACTTAGGGAAATACTCTACTTAGATTTACTGATATATTATAAAGGATACAAATGAAGAGTACTTAGGGTTAGGTCCAGAAGCATCTGAGTATAGGAGCTTGTGTCCCTGTGGAACTGGGGCATACATCCTAGGTTAACCAACCCAGACGTTCACTAAATCTTGTTCAAGACGTTATAAAACTTAATCTGCAGATTGTCCCTCCTTCATGCCCCAAACCTTACCCAGAGCTCTTTGGATGGAGCTGAAAGTTCTAACCCTCAGGTAGTTACCTGGCCTTTCTGGTGACCCCCACCCCATTCTGAGACCCACCGTTAGCCACTTCATTAATAAGTCTGGTGTGCTCTTTAGAGACTCCTTATGAGTAACAAAAACCTCCCATAACCTAGGAAATTCTAAGGGTTTCAGAATCTTTGTCAAAAGCTGTGGATGAGGGGCGCCTGGGTGGCGCAGTCGGTTAAGCGTCCGACTTCAGCCAGGTCACGATCTCACGGTCCGTGAGTTCGAGCCCCGCATCAGGCTCTGGGCTGATGGCTCAGGGCCTGGAGCCTGTTTCCGATTCTGTGTCTCCCTCTCTCTCTGCCCCTCCCCCGTTCATGCTCTGTCTCTCTCTGTCCGAAAAATAAATAAAAAACGTTGAAAAAATAAAATAAAAAAAAAAAGCTGTGGACGAAAACCACATACATTTCTTATACCATATAACCCTTTTTTTAATAAATCTCTATAAAATTCTTCACATTATGTTGAATTAAAATTAATTTTGTGAGATTGTTGAATAGGTTTTTTAACCTTACAGACAAATAATTTGGACAGGCTATGAATATGATTTGAATCGAGTAAAGTATATTAAATGTGTTTGAATA